CGTGGTCAGTTATCTTTAGATTTTTCAATTTAAGCTAAGCCATCAATGTCAAATTTTCGTTTTCGTTTAAGCATTGGTTAAAAATAAGTACTCGAAAATTAAAATCATACCACGTAAACATATTCAGAACTTTTGAATAAACGTGTTTAATTTGTACATGCTGTTACAATCATATTAAGATATTGAGATAAACCATGAACAGGTGATACATATATCTTATGAAATATCTGTCATAATAATTCAACGTATTCAAATGGTAACTAATCTTGAATGTAACTTGTAAATTTTGGGCATTCGATTCATATTTGTCAAATATATTTACCACCGTGTATATCCAGTAACGCAGGAATGTGTAAATAACGCAGGAATTGTGCAGTTTAGTGGCTAAAACGAGCACCGCAATAAGTAAATGGACCAATATTTTTATTGTACACCAAATTGGAAGAAATGAGTTAGCGCATACGGTTGCTGAGACATTATACTTTAAGCCTCATCAAAAATATGTCCATGATATTGTTTATTTTTCAAGATCATTCGTGAAAATAACGACCTGACTAGCGTTTTGATGGCGATTTTTAGTTTCGTTGATATCTTTAAATACAATAACGTACATATAACTTTATGATTTTTTAAATTCGGTTTACCTGAGACATTTTCCAATCTTCTCGTATTGAATTACATTAAATTTATCATTGAGACCATTTTCACGAGGTAACGCCGAATTCGTGAATAAAGCACTGTAGCAACGCCGGTTATTTCAATAAAAGTAGCTAAATCCTATATTACCAGCTTCCATCTATTGTTACTATAACAATATGTATACAACATTTGTTGTTTGAAAAATGTTCAAAAGACACCTTCAAAACGGTAATCATGTTGTCTCTCTCACGAATGATCTAAGAAAGTAAACAACTTCCTGTAAAAAAAATTTTTGCTGGTTAAAGTATAATGTAGTAGCAGCCGTATGCGCTTATTATTTTCGTTAAATTTATTTAGAATAAAATATTTTGGTTCGTTTACTTGCCTTCGTTTTGTCAGTAACATTGCACAGATTCGGCGTAACTTTTATGATAATTGCACATTCCTGCGTTACTGGATATGCACGGTGTTTACGGACAATATTATTATATTTCTTGTGGTTAAACTATTTAGAATAAATTAGTATTTCATTTGAGTGAGAACTGAAGATAAATACAGTGAGTTAGCCAATAGCGGATCATAGCCAATAACGGATCAGTCCGTAATTTAACGAAATATTCTTCCAACAGTTTTGAGCTTAAAAATGTTTTTACCTAACAGGCATGTGCATTAGGATGTTAGCTACTTGACAGCGGAAAAAAAGAGTAAACATCCGTGCAATTCATATCAGATTAACTCAGATGCTTAACCAAGCGTGTCCGTTTCTCGTGAAATTTAGCGCCGTTGACAACGCATATTTGAAATTGTTGCCTTATTTATCATAAAAACTCGAAAGATATTGGATCAAAGCTGGTAGAAATTTGATGCCCAATATGTTAACTACCTGCAACACCAACCGTTTAAAAGATACTTGAGGAATTATTTTGTTAGCGCTATTCAAATGAATCGCACCGAGTTGTCCAAAAGCGGATCATGCAATGTATTGGAAGGGTCCGCCTCAAAGTTATACAACCTGTTATAAAAATATTTTTTTTTTACAAAATTTTAGTTTGTAGACCAAATAAATAAATAAGTAATATAAAGTTTAAATGATATATGTTAATATTACAACTGAATTATGCAGTCCATGCCAAAAAAAGTATTTTATGCAGTATAAACAGCTGCAACAGTTAAATACTGTTACAGGCTACATGTACGTAGGTATCCAGTCTTTTTCCAGACTATATATAACATCATAAATCATTGTTATTAAATAAATCAGATACAAAGAACATATTTTTTCATATTCAGTTATCTATATGACATATATATATTGAGACTTGTCCCCACCCAGCGCCTGTGTTTTGATTTCAGTTTAAGATTTTTGTGCAGTAATTTTACAGTAAAATAATTTTTACATCTACATTTTTTTTCTTTAAGCATCAACTTCAAACTTCAAATCATAATTAATGTTCCTTATCATCAACCACATCTTATGTGACACGGTTGATAACTCTGGCAAAACTATTTCTGTAATTATCTCCCCTTGGATTACGATTTTTCATTAAAAATATTGTTTTTACTGCAACTTCTTTATTTCTTAATGTATCCACTTCAAACTTCAAATATATGTTCCTTTACATCATCGCCAACATGATTTGTGAAAGACTTTTTACAGAATTATTCCTACAGAATATGTGACTCCAAATGTATGTAGTATATTTTAAGACTAGGCTTTAACTTAAAATTTTGTTCAAAATTTAATAAAACTAAATTATTTTATTACTTCTCCATTTTTTTCATTGCTCAAGGCATCTACGTTACTTATTATCACCAACATTACATGTGATAAATAATGAATATTTCTATGATTTACCCCCCCCCCCCTCGCTCCCCATTATAGTACTTTAGAAAATTGTTCAGACAGTTCTTTGTCATTACTCAACGTTTTATTTCAAGAGTACTTCCTTTTTGAACTATGATTTTCTTTTAAAACTTCACATAAGTTTAGCTCTTATCATTCTTTTTATTGAAGGGATTAATTTTAGATTTCAAATTGTTGTCTTTTTCATTAGAGCATTGGAATTGTCTGACATGGTCACTTGCATGTCATATGTCGCTGAAATATTAAACAAATACGTGGATTCTTGATGTTGATACAGAAATACATTTATATGATAATTTTGTCCATAGTCTTGTCTTCCTTTAAATATTGCGTCCATTAATTAATTAGTCGAGTGGAGCTGTCTCCTCTGACAGCTCTTGTTTTATATGCTAACCAAGACATCTCAATGCAGAAATGGTCAAAGTATTAAATAGTAAAATTATACTTAATGAATCCATGCCAGCTCAATGTTTATTTGTTTTATTGTTTCAGATAATGATGCTTCCTAAGACTAAAGGAAAACCAAAAAAATGTACACAAAAGTCCAGCCCTATGACCTAAAATTGTGTTGGTGTGACGTTAAACCCAACAAAAATACAATTTTTCAGTCACAAGTCTGTTTCATATAACAATAAATAATTCTTTTTTACTTAAATTACATATTTTTAAAGCTTTTGCTAGTGTTTTATAACAATTAATTGTGACATAGAAGTTCATATCCATTTGTCTGCACAATCAGAATTATTATTACATTGCCTTTTTTGAATGATAGTCAGAATTGTTTAACACTAGTACATGTATTTTGTTATGATTTTGTTCGTTTTTTATTGCAAAATTTTCTAAGGAGGAGTAAAGCAGTATAATTATGTTGAAAATTTTGTTTGTTTTTCTAATAAAGTATATCCTAATCATACTGACCACATAGAACATGAACATTTCTAGATATTGCACTTTTAGCTTTTGTTTTACACCAGCAGCAATAACAACAGCAACACATTAAGGTTACAGTCACTTTAATCAAGTTTTACATAGAAGGTGTTTTCATGAGCTGCTTTGTCCCCTGTAATCCTGAAAAAAATAGATATGCATTTATTATAATGTCAACCATCATTTGTCTTGTGGTTGTTGCATACACAAATCATTGAGAGCAGTTATCTAGTTCACCATTATTATATACAATCATAACATTACTATGTTAACCACAATCATTCAGTTGCCTCTTGAATTCTTTACTCCCTTTACACTCTGATATTCAGGGGTGACATATATTTGTGCAATATTTTCTTTGTTCATGACGAATTTGACAGAAAATTCGTGTTTTGAGACAATCCCTCATTCGTATGTCACGTGCTCCGCTAATGGCTGATTTGACCCGTTATTGGCATGTTATCTAGATGTTTGAAAAGGGTAAATGCACCATGATGCATTCAAAATACAAATTCACAAGAAGTATACAGTAAAAGGGGAATAAAAATATTTCAAATCTACATACATTTATTTAAGAATTTAATAATCATTCGTTCATAAACACTAAAAGTTTCACTAGTAATCCGTTGTTGGCCAACTCACTGTAATATCTTTCTTCTTTTTTTATCTAAACTTTCCTGTTATGTTGTTCACGTGTTTGCAGGTGTATTGTCTTCATGTTATTTGTGTTATAGGCCCATTGGGCCGGTGTATACTAGTGTTTATCCATGTCTTGTTTGTTTATTGCTTGTATGTTTATATAAGACACATTAATAAAATATTTACTTACTTACTTACTTACTTACTCACATGGCTCGAGTTGCTGACCTGTGCTCTGTGTTTCTTTTCCTGATCCAGAGGGTTAACTACAAACACCCATCCAAATGACTCGGGTCAATATTGCAATACAAAGAAATATATAATTTGACATTCGTTTTCAGTGATTTAAACTTAATATATGAAACGAGTTGTGAAAATGTAAAGAATCAGCTTTTAGCTGAATGACATTTTCCTGGACAACATTAAAAATCAAATGACAGATAAAGGTATTTTTTATTATTTCATTATTGAAGGCCTCTCTTTCAATAACGGATATCTTGTTAGAATATATTCATTATTCAGAGCTTAAATTGATATGTTGTCATAAAACACGTGAAATAAAGTTGAATTGCTTATTTGTTTTTAAAAGGAATAATTTTTAATGAATATACCCCCCGTTTGAGACCAATTAAAACTGTAAAATGAATCTCTCATGGTTATCTCCCGGCAATTTTCATGAATGTATAATGCGAAAGTTTGATGCTTTTTACACCTTTTGCTCAAAATGGCTTTTTGTCACCTACACAAAAAAGTTTGATTGTCAAGTAATACGGTAATAGATTACGAAATAATAATAATCCTTTCTCTTGGACACGATAAGTTTGCTTGCATTCCACAATCATTTTAACAACAATACGCTTTATTGTTGACATTGTGTGAGAAATCCATTGGACTGAAACGGATTAACCTTAAAACCAATTCTCTTTCTCAATTGACTTCTGTTGCTCTTTAGAAAACGACTTGGAAGAAATTAAAAATTATACCTTTAAACGAAGAACATGACATTATCAATGCTGACTATGGATACGAACAAAGCTTTTAAAGCAGTTTGTGTTACATATTTTGCAACATTTATTTATATTTGTGACGGATTAGTGTTTGAAACAGATAAAAATATGTCAGGAAATAACATTGCGGAGTTAACAACAAAATCCTTTACCCGGACAAATGAAATTGGGAAAATTAAGACTGAATCACCAGACTTCCAATTTAAATTTACGCCTCCGATCGTGACTAGATATGGATTGAATTCGGATGAGTGCATTCGGAAAACAAGCTGCGATGGTGTTATTGAATTGGAGGGAAGAACGTGTTTCTGTGACTCATTGTGTCCCATTTTTAATGATTGTTGTGAAAATGTTGTAAATACAACCATCATGAAATCCAAAAATGTTCCCGGTATGCATCAGTTTGATTGTTTAAAGTTGACTTTAAGAAATTTCAAAGTCATTGAAAGCCACGTGGTGACAAAATGCTCATCGGAATGGAATGACACTTTTTCAAGAAATCTCTGTGAAAACGTTAAAGATGATCCAAATATTGTTTTTAAAGTTCCTGTGATAGACCGTAAGAACTTTATTTATCGGAATATGTACTGTGCATATTGTAATTTTCAGTTTGATTTTGATTTTTGGATTGTAGAGGAAAGATGCCCATCTCAAAATGACAACTCTCAGTGCAAATTATTCTACGATCCTCCAGTGAATCATTCTTTACCTACATCATGTAGAACGTTTGACTTTGTCTCCACCTGTTCTTTGGTTGGAAATAGCACCGAAGAAAACAGTCAGTGTGAGTTAAGCCCGACCAATATTGTGTATACTTTTACGTCAGGCGGTGAGTTTACTAAGTACAAAAATAAGTACTGTGCTCTGTGTAATAATGAGGATGAAGACTTGCTGCTGTGCAACACAGGGATATATGAAGGCGATGGACCCATCGTTTTTCATCCTCCAGGCTACAGTTTTCGTGTCCTAGTTGATTTAAACACAATGGGAAACGGAAACGCGATTGAATTTCATTGCAAGAATGATCAAATATATGACCCAATATCTAAAAATTGTAGAAAAATATTTTGTCCTCCAACAACAATAATCATCAATGGGCGATGTATACCGGAAGTGCGTACATTAAAACAGGAGACTGACGAAAATACAACAAGCTGCGCTTTCATAAAATTAAAATCAAATGAATGGAGTTCTGAAAACGAAACAGGGATTTACGTGCCAGCATTGGATAAAGTATTCAACTCATCTATGTTTTATTTCAACGGAACAGACGTCTACCTTTGTGCAGACATGTTTGAAAACCAGCCGGGGTCCACGGACATCTTTACCTTTAATTCTGCAGAGAGTTATGTGACGATCTGTGGATTAATTTTCTCTATCTCAGCATTAACGGTTACTTTAATAATATACTGTATGTTTATAGAACTTCGTAACATTCCGGGGAAAATATTAATATGTTTGATTATCTCGCTTTTATCAGCGCAAACGTCATTTCTTTTTATCAGCCATGCTGCAGGTTATTCAATTACGTGCAAGTCTTTGGCAATAATAGTTCACTATTTTTACACTTCATCATTCACATGGATGAACGTGATCGCTTTCGACTTATTGCTTACGTTTTCTAGATCATTTATTGTTACTGGAGGAAATAAAACATCAAAGAGGTTTTTTCTCTACAATGTTTATGGATGGCTACTACCAATGATAATTGTTGCCACAGCTGTTGGTATAGACGAGTCAAGTTTTGATACACTTAGCGAGTTTAGACCCGGATATGGACAAGGAATATGTTGGATAACATCGACGAAAGCCTTAATGCTCTTTTTTATCGGACCACTTGCTTTCTTTAAGTTGATTGATATAATAGGATTCATTTTCACTTCTTGCTTTATAGCCAGAGCTCGACAGCAAGGATCAAGGGCAAACAATAATGGAAAGCTTTGTTCTTTTTTCTTGTATATCAAATTGTCTGCTGTGATGGGACTGACATGGGTTTTTGCTTTTCTGGCAACGTTTACCAATAACACTGTAATATGGTACATGTTTATTATATTCAACACACTCCAAGGCGTTTTTATAGCTGCAAGTTTCTTGTGCAGTAGAAAGGTCTTCAAGTTGGTTCGAAACAAAATTTCGAAAGGAAAACATGCGCCGTTAACAACGACTCTGTCTACGTCAAGGGGATGAACATGTTTTTATATTCTTATGTTTATGAATGACGTCTATGTGCAGACTGGAGCTGGTTCTCGAGAACCGTGTTGTATTCAGACAAATATAATAGAATTTCTCATCCAGTCATTTAGCCTCACAAGATGTCAATGTTTTTTTTTGCATTTAATTATGTTCATATTAAATGTGTTTTGACATTTTATGTTGATATCAAATGTGTTTAACATTAATGTATGGAAATCAACTATTTGCGATAGCCCTACACCAGTGACTCACGAGACATGTGTATGATCATTAGCAATCAGGGATACAAAAATGATTAAAGTTCTAACTGTATAATCACATTCAAATTGTGAATTAATGAATTCAAGTTAAAAACGACATTTTGTAAAATCATCCTTTTAAAGAAATTTGTTTCCAGACTTTAAAGAATGTTTTATCTTGCAACAACACGACAAACACGTGTTGTATTTTATGTAAATCTGGTTTTAAATTTAATAATGTACATTTTAGATAATAAAAAATTGAAATAGAGTATGAATTATATTATGTAATAGTAAAAATATTTGACAAAAATGTTAATAACATTAGATAGATGAGATTGAATACGCTGAGTATGATGCCGTCTCCAGGAATAAGTTTAACGGTTGTGAAAGACTCAATATGCCCCTATACTATCCTCCATCAAACGCAACTACTCGGCCGTTTCCGTCAGTCTTCGGATAACGAAGATAATAGCCGAGGCAGTTCCGAATGTATCTTCCATGTGCATTGTTTACCATTTCAGCAGACGCCAGACTAGCATTGACTATCAAGCTTCAAATTACATAAATAAGCGATGTACCCATGTGTATCAAACCAAAGATTAGTGTTCCATAATATATATATATATATATATATATATATATATATATATATATATATATATATATATATATATATATATATATATATATATATAATTATGTAGATATTAAAGAAGCTAAAATAATTCTCAAATATAGGAGGAGAAAAACACCATTTACAATTATGTTTCACAATTAAATTATTTTTTAACATAGACTGTATTAGACCTTTGGCCAAAGGTACAACAAAACAAACTGAAAATCAACTTTCAAGTTTATTCAATATACATATGAATAAACATCAATATACATATGAATAAACGTGAAACTTGATCAAAAAGAAAGTAATCGTATATGTTAACATGTGTTTTATTGTCGATGCTATGGAAGACTTATAAGTTACAGCTGATAACTAGTTTCCTTTTAATGAAAAAAAGTTTTAATTTGCATAAAAGGTGGAGTAATGATCAAAAGGATTTATTTGCATAAAAGGAGGAGCAAATGCACACGAGAAAAGTCTGCAGGAAAGCCAGGTCTATTTCAGACCAGTATAAATGGTATAATATATATGCACAAATACCACTATTGTCATTAGTCAGTGATCATCTAAATAAGCTATTGCCATATTTGACTATATCGTAGCTACTGCAAAATTAGGTTCGATGTTTACTTATATATTATATGTATATTTTATATTTACACTGATACCAAATGTCAGTTTTACCTCCAATCATTTACCGTTCAATTTTCATTTATATTTGTTTAAAGCTACATGCCTCCAGATGTACCAAAATATCAAAAAATCAAACTTGAGAAAAATGCCCGTTTTTTATATTCTCGAAGCTTTTGTAACATAAAGTGTCTGTGTCTTTAAACAACAGTTTTTTTCAACAGCGTTTAATAAAAAAAAATGCGACAGATATAGCATATATATTTATTTACTAGCCATGATAGAAGTTTTAACTTTGATTCCAGTTTGAAAAATGATGCTTTTAACAAACATTATTCAGGAAGTATTATAATCATATGTACTGAAACGTGTTGTTGGATCGTGTTACTACGATTTTTCAATTGAAGCAAACAAGAGAATACTAGCATGTTGCCGGGCCTTTATTTATCAAATTACTTTGTCTGATCATATCAAAATAAGACAAATCCTTGGACAATTTATTAATATATATGGTTTAACATGAATTCTAATAGTCAGTTAGGCCTTCTTATCATATAACTACACGTGGCAACGAGGATCTAAATCCTGACGCAGGCAAATCGTTATCACGACCATAGATGGCGCACTTTTTAAACTCACATGGACTCATTTCCCAGGCGTATTTAACTGATGTCACGTGGTTGTTGTTACCATGGCAAACAGACGTATCTATGGTAACACTTGTTTGATCATGTGATGTTATATTTGTATACTGGTATTGTCGAATGTTGCAGGTTCCATTGGATGAGTGAGAGCAACACACCTTGTTAATTAAAATGAATAAATGTCATTTTTTTATTGAAAAGTTTTCTAGACGCTCCTTTTAAAAATATAGAGAAATTGTCTACTGCACACCTATTACCAAAAAAACTTATCTTTACAATATTTGAATACATTTTTATTACCATGTTACATTTAAATATTAAACAATATCAACTGCAGTACTGCACAGTAATTCTTAAACGTCTCTTATGCATTCACGTGAGGAAGTTCTTCTAAATCTCTAACTCTTCTTAAAAAGTCTCACGTTGATTATATATAGCTTCAAAATAATTGAACGATAGCTTCACAGAGCGTCTTAAACAAGTTTCTTGTAAATTTAAAATTATAAAAAGACTACCTTGAAACCACGATTTTGTCTGACCTCAATAGGGCTATTGCCATGATCAAACTCAATAGTAAGAGTATGGTCTGAGTTGAGAGTAAATTTGGATGGTATAGGACCCTGGAAGTCAATATTCGATTCACCATAGGCCACAGCACGACCTGCTAAAGCAAGGCGTTCCCCAACGTCCATCTTGTCTCTTGGGTGTATACTGAAACAATTCAGAATCATTAGCGTTTCATCAAAATTTGAGCCGTGTCACGACAAAACCAACATAGTGCGTTTGCGACCAACATGGATCCAGACCAGCCTGCGCATCCGCGCAGTCTGATCAGGATCTATGTTGTTCGCTTACCAACTCTATTACAAGTAGAGAAACTGATAGCGAATATAATGGATCCTGATCAGACTGCGCGGATGCGCAGGCTGGTCTGGATCTATGCTGGTCGCAAACCCATTATCTTGGTTTTGTCGTGACGCGGCTCATTTACTTTTTACAATTAAATGAATCATCTGTAGAATTTAAACTTCCTCGCTCATTTGCTTTCCGGCTATCATAAATGCGCTGGTGTAAGTAAATAAGAAAACTTATTGTGTATTCTATTATTTGAATCTCGAGTATTATTGGCCACAGGAAATTGAAATTACATCACTAAGTTAGTTATATATAGTTAACAATAATACCTTCTCCTCCGGAATGATTTTTATAATAAATGACCCGATAATTTAACAATACGATTTATCACATAATATAACTCCAAACTTCCGTGCATTGTCACACGATCAACGTCAATGTGAAGCACTTCAGTTTATAAAAACATACGATCAGTAGGTCCAGATAAACTATGATCTTAAATCGTTGCAGCCTTAAAACTACACCATTAAAGGCCCATTAAGCCTCAAAATACAAATATTTTATTTTTCAAAAGTTTTCTTTTTCATTTCTTTTTAAATGTTATTGGCAGTCTATCTGAATAATATACTAGTATTGCTTCTTTTGCATTTTGGCAATTAGTTAGTTACAGAGATCAAGTATTTTGTATGGAAATCAAAATACCACCTAGTTTCTTTTCTGCTACCTTTTTACATTCAGCGTTATTTTCTTCAGGTGAAAGTCCTTTACATATTAATATGGACAGGGCCGAACAGATACCACAGAAATAAGACATGAGTTTAGTCATTTACATTAGGGGCGATTTGTTATGTATATGGTCCTGGAATTATAATGGAATGCACCCAGAAAGGTGCAACTGCAACATTTCTATCTCTTTTTATACCCCCAAAAACGAAGTTTGGGGGGGGGGGTATATAGGAGTCACCCGGTGGTCGGTCGGTTGGTCTGTCGGGCGGTCGGTTGGTCGGTCGGTCCAGACGTCCGTTGCATTTTCCTTGTCCGGAGCATAACTTGAAGACTAATGGTTGGAATTCAATATAACAACATACAATGGTCAAGCACATTGAGAGGAAGTGCAGTGCACAAGAACCATAACTCTATCTTGACTAATTACAGAGTTATTGCCCTTTGTTACTTTTCCTTGTCCGGGGCATAACTTGAAAACTACTGGTTGGAATTCAAAACAACTTCATACAATTGTCAAACACAATCCGCGCAGTCTGATCAGGATCCATGCTGTTCGCTTACCAACTCTATTACAAGTAGAGAAACTGATAGCGAACAGCATGGATCCTGATCAGACTGCGCGGATGCGCAGGCTGGTCTGGATCCATGCTGGTCGCAAACCCACTATGTTGGTTTTGTCGTGACGCGGCTCATATATATATATATAATTGTGTAGATAAATAAAGAAGCTCAAATAATTCTCAAATATAGGAGAAGAAAAGCACTCATTACAATTATGTTTAACAAGTAAATTATTTTTTAATAAAACCTTTGGCCAAAGATGCAACAAAATACAAAATGAAAATAATCGTATATGTCAACATGTGTTTAATTCTCGATGCTATGGAACACTTATAAGTTATAGCTGATAAAGGAGGAGTAAATAATCAAAAGTTTTATTTGCATAAAAGGAGGAGCAAATGCACAAGGAAAGCCGGGTCTACTTCAGACCAGTACAAATGGTATAATATATATGCACAAATACCACTATTGTCATTAGTCAGTGATCATCTAAATAAGCTATTGCCATATTTGACTATATCGTAGCTACTGCTAAATTAGGTTCGATTTTTACTCATATATATACATTTTATATTTACACTGATATCGGCAAGCCTCGTTACCGCCCAATGGGCAGGTCACTTCGGGACGGATATTCCGATCCGAACCGCAAAATATGACAGATATTATTATTCATGTAGTTACTAGCAATTATAGACTTACAATTAAGTTCTAAGTTTGATTAAAGTTTGAAAAATGATGCCTTTGAACAAACATTATTCAGGAACTATTTAAATCATAAGTACGTTAACGTAATGTTGGATCGTGTCAATTGAAGCAAACAAGATAACTAGCATGTTACCGGGCCTTTATATACCAAATTAACTTTGTCTGATCATATCAAAATAAGAAAAATCCTTGGACAATTTATTAATATACATGTATATGGTTTAACATGAATTCTAATAGTCAGTTAGGCCTTCTTATCATATAACTGCACGTGGCAACGAGGATTTAAATCCTGACGCAGGCAAATCGTTATCACGACCATAGATGGCGCACTTTTTGAACTCACATGGACTCATTTCCCAGGCGTATTTAACTGATGTCACGTGGTTGCTGTTACCATGGCAAACAGACGTATCTATATGGAACGCCATAGCTGCCTTATATTTACTTTTATCAAGTCGCGATGTCCTTTGGATAAATGATGATGTCGTTTCTATAGATGGTGCTATGGTTTTGATAGATGGTGATGTTATTCAGATAGATGGTGATGTAATTTAGATATATGGTGCAGTCATGTTAAAAGACGGTGCTGTGAATTTGATAAATGATTATCTCGTTTTGTAAGATGGTGCTGTGGTTTTTATAGAAGGTGCTGTTATTTTGATAAATGGTTATGTCGTTTTGTTAGATAGTGCTGTCGATTTGATAAATGGTTAGGTCGAGCTTTTAGTTGATGCTATGGTTGTTATAGATGGTGCTGTAATTTTGATAAATGGTTATGTCGTTTTGTTAGATGGTGCTGTGGTTGTTATAGATGGTGCTGTTATTTTGATAAATGGTTATGTCGTTTTGTTAGATGGTGCTGTGGTTGTTATAGATGGTGCTGTTATTTTGATAAATGGTTATGTCGTTTTGTTAGATGGTGCTGTGGTTGTTATAGATAGTGCTGTAATGTTGATAAATGGTTATGTCGATTTGTTAGATGGTGCTGTAATTTTGATAAATGGTTATGTCGTTTTGTTAGATGGTGCTGTGGTTGTTATAGATAGTGCTGTAATTTTGATAAATGGTTATGTCGATTTGTTAGATGGTGCTGTCGATTTGATAAATAGTTAGGTCGTTCTTTTAGTTGATGCTATGGTTGTTATAGATGGTGCTGTAATTTTGATAAATGGTTATGTCGTTTTGTAAGATGGTGCTGTGGATTTGATAAATGGTTAGGTCGTTCTTTTAGTTGATGCAATGGTTGTTATAGATGGTGCAGTAATTTTGATAAATGGTTATGTCGTTTTGTAAGATGGTCCTTTGGTATTTATATATGGTACTGTAATTTTGATAAATGGTTATGTCGTTTTGTTAGATGGTGCTGTAATTTTGATAAATGATTATGTCGATTTGTTAGATGGTGCTGTAATTTTGATAAATGGTTATGTCGTTTCAATAGACCGTGCTATGGATTTGATAAATGGGTGAGGTGGTTTTAATCAATAGTTTCTGTGTTTTTTGATAAATGGTAATGTCGTTTTGAAATGTTGTTATGCCGTTTGGTATATGGTTATACTGTTTTTTGGTATATGGTGTTGTCATTTTATACAAGGTGCTGTGTTTTTTGTACATGGTGATGTCTTTCTGAACTGTGGAGATGGTCATTTACTTATTTCTGAGAAAAATATGGCGAAGCCTCCTTTAACCCTTTACCTCGTATAGACGTGTTTGACGGATTGTAGACCCCCTCCTTTTTGAGGCCTTAAACAGTAAAAAAAATGCCCTATTTAGGCCCTAGACACTGTTTTTCGTTTGAGAAATGTTGTTAAAAAAGTGATCATTTTTTCAGCGCTGCCCCCATCAAAATAGTACATCAAGGGGATGTGCCCCCTTCTGTTTTTTTTGGGGGGGGGGGGTTGAAGTGGGCGGCAGTCGCCCTCATCGCCAAGAAAATTTTGGACATGTGACAGGCTAAAATAGCCTCAGATCGATCGTTAGGTAACGTGTAACCAACGCTGAAAAGCCTTTTGCTCCATCTCAATCCATTGAGAAGTTGCAGCACTTTGAACTCAGTTTGTTTTGATGGAAAGAAAAAACAATGCAAAATAGTGATTTTTGGCAATTTTGAGACGTTCCCCTGTTGCCAATGTTACAGGAAATTTAAGACACAGGCTATTGTCCAGTCAACACCTGTGCCAGTTTTCATCAGTATCAAAGCATTTTTCATAGTTCCATAGCAGTTGAACTTGTAACAGGAGGCTTTTCAATGAAAACGGTCATTTTTCACAATATGCTCATGAAGGAAAGAGTTAAATGTTTTTCTCTGAGATTGATAAATTAAAATTAAAATTGAAATGTTTAACTGATGAAACCAATGGAAGCAATTTTGAAAAAACCTTTAACTTGTGGACATTTTTTGAATATGAAAAGATCATGCCTGATTTTGTCTGCAAGTTATCTATGCAGGAAATGAAATACTTTAGAATAAATAACTGTCAAGATATGATGAAACTCAGATTAGAGTGTATAAAAGTTGGCGAAAAACACAGGTATCCATAATTTAAAATAACCAATCAAAATGTTCCAGTAAACAAACAGGTCATCTATAAATAGATCATCATCATCGTAATAAAAAATAACAGAACCACACATCAAAATAGTATCACCATGTACAAAAAGAACATCACCACATAGCAAAAAAGTATAACCATTTATAAATAGAACATCATCGTACATCAGAATAGTATAACCATTTATAAAAATAACATCACCATACATTAAAATAGTATCGTCATTTATAAATAGAACATCACCATATATCAAAATAGTATCACCATTATAAAAAGAACATCACCATGCATCAAAATAGTATAACCATTTATAAAACAACATCACCATATAGCAAAATTACAGCACCATTTATAAAAAATAACAGCACCATATATAAAATGACACTACCAGGTACCAAAGTGACACCACCATATATCAAAACGACATCACCATTTATCATTACCACAGCACTATTTATCAAAACAAAAGCACCATCTATGAAAATTACAGCACCATTTATCAAAGCAACAACACCGTATATAAATTGACCACACCAGGTACCAAAGTGACTCTACCATATATCAAAACGACATCACCATTTATCATTACTGCAGCACCATGTATCAAAACCACAGCGCCATATACATAATTACATCACCATTTATCAAAACCACAGCACCATTTACTTTAACTACAGCACCATCTGTCAAAACGACATAACCATTTATCAAAACCACAGCACCACTTATTAAATCCACAACACCATTTATTCAAACTACAGCACCATCTGTCAAAACGACATAACCATTTATAAAAACCACAGCACCACTTATTAAATCCACAACACCATTAATTTTAACTACAGCACCATCTGTAAAAACGACATAACCATTTATCAAAACCACAACACCACTAAATTACCATTAAATCCACAACACCATTTATTCAAACTACAGCATCATCTGTCAAAACGACATAACCATTTATCAAAACCACAGCACCACTTATTAAATCCACAACACCATTTATTTAAACTACAGCACCATCTGTCAAAACGACATAACCATTTATCAAAACCACAGCACCACTTATTAAATTCACAACACCATTTATTGAAACTACAGCACCATCTGTCAAAACGACATAACCATTTATAAAAACCACAGCACCACTTATTAAATCCACATCACTATTTATTTTAACTACAGCACCATCTTTCAAAACGACATAACCATTTATCAAAACCACAACACCATTTATTAAATCCACAGCACCATCTGTCAAAACGACATGACCATTTATCAAAACCACAACACAATTTATTAAATCCACAGCACCATTTATTTTCACTACAGCACCATCTTTCAAAACGACAACCATTTATGAAAACCACAGCACACTTTATTAAATCCACAGCACCATCTGTCAAAATGACATAACCATTTATCAAAACCACAGCACCATTTATTAAATCCACATCACCATTTTTTTTAACTACAGCACCATCTTTCAAAACAACATAACCATTTTTAAAAACCACAGGACCATTTATTTAAACTACAGGACCATCTATCACAACGACATCACCATTTATTAAAACCACATAACCATTTATCAGAACCACAGCAATATCTGTCAAAAGGACATGACCACTTTAGAAGTGTTTATATAAGGCAGCTATGGCGTTCCATATATCTATGGTAACACTTGTTTGATCGTGTGATGTTATATTTGTGTACTGGTATTGTCGGAAGTTGCACGTTCCATTGGATGAGTGAGAGCAACACACCTTGTTAATTAAAATGAATAAATGTAATTTGTAACTGAACAGTTTTCCAGACGCTCCTTTTAAAAATATAGAGAAATTGTCTACTGCACACCTCCTACAAAAACACTATCATCTTTACAATATTTGAATACATTTTTATTACCATGTTACATTTAAACATTAAACAATATCAACTGCAGTACTGCAGAGTAATTCTTAAACGTCTCTTATGCATGCACGTAAGGTAGTTCTTCTAAATCTCTAACTCTTCTTAAAAAGTCTCACGTTGATTATATATAGCTTCAAAATAATTGAAAGATAGCCTCACAGAGCGTCTTAAACTAGTTTCTTGTAAATTTAAAATTATAAAAAGACTACCTCAAAACCACGATTTTGTCTGACCTCAATAGGGCTATTGCCATGATCAAACTCAATAGTAAGTGTATGGTCTGAGTTGAGAGTAAATTTGGATGGTATAGGACCCTGGAAGTCAATATTCGATTCACCATAGGCCACAGCACGACCTGCTAAAGCAAGGCGTTCTCCAACGTCCATCTTGTCTCTTGGGTGTATACTGAAACAATTCAGAATTATTAGCGTTTCATCAAAATTTGAGCCGTGTCACGACAAAACCAACATAGTGCGTTTACGACCAGCATGGATCCAGACCAGCCTGCGCATCCGCGCAGTCTGATCAGGATCCATGCTGTTCGCTTACCAACTCTATTACAAGTAGAGAAACTGATAGCGAGCATAATGGATCCTGATCAGACTGCGCAGGCTGGTCTGGATCCATGCTGGTCGCAAACCCATTATGTTGGTTTTGTCATGTTACGGCTCATTTACTTTTTACAATTAAATGAATCATCTGAAGAATTTAAACTTCCTCGCTTATTTGCTTTCCGGCTATCATAAATGCGCTGGTGTAAGTAAATAAGAAAACTTATTGTGTATTTTATTATTTGAATCTCGAGTATTATTGGCCACAGGAAATTGAAATTACATCACGAAGTTAGTTATATATAGTTAACAATAATACCTTCTCCTCCGGAATGATTTTTATAATAAATGACCCGATATTTAATACGATTTATCACATAATATAACTCCAAACTTCCGTGCATTGACACACGATTAACGTCAATATGTAGAGCAGCAATGTCATCACTTCAGTTTATAAGGACATATGATCAGTAGGTCCAGATAAACTATGATCTTAAATCGCTACACCATTAAAGGTCCATTAAGCCTCAAAATACAAATATTTTATTTTTCAAAAGTTTTCTTTTTCATTTCTTTTTAAAGGTTATTTACAGTCTATCTGAATAATATACTAGTATTGCTCGTTTTGCGTTTTGGCAATTAGTTAAGTATTTTGTATGGAAGTCAAAATACCACCTAGTTTCTTTTCTGCAACCTTTTTTACATTCAGCGTTATTTTCTTCAGGTGAAAGTCCTTTACATATTAATATGGACAGGGCCAAACAGATACCACAGACATAAGACATGAGTTTAGTCATTTACATTAGGGGCGATTTGTTATGTCTTAGGTCCTTGAATTATAATGGAATGCATCAGAAAGGTGCAACTGCAACATTTCTATCTCTTTTTATTTTTATAAAAACGTTTGCTTCGTTTTGGAAGTAAGCTTCAATGACTTTTTAGCTTAATTTGTATTATATAACCGTTTCAAACCTGCCCAATTTTACTGAGCTATAAAACAAAACTGGTTTGAATATAATGATGCTTCTGTTCAACAAAGAGAAAGATGAATCGCGCTAGGCAACATTTCCTAATTCAATTCACCAGTTGTAATTGAAATTATTAATTTCCCCTAAGTTACCTTCCATATGGCGAGGCATAGTCTGGAAGATCCATGGCCACTGCCATGAAGACATTTTGAAGTATTGGATTCGGTACATAGCCGTACCCAGCTGTTTGTGACCATCGTAGATCTGGCATTGCCACTCTCAATGTCTGATTTTTATAAGCTGCAAGCTAGGAAAGAAATAATATTCACATTTATTCCCGTTTGAATTAGTAGAACAGGTATACGAATATTTTAAATTGTTCGCTATTAGCTTAGAAACTGCCAGTTTTAATAAGCAGCCAACATGGTCCAAATGTGCATTGTTTCTGAAACAAATCAGATTCGTGTCAAATAAAAAGTGATGGTGACGACCCCGAATAGGTTCAAACTCACGATACCTGGTTTTACATATAAACATCATAACCAGTAACCATTTGGCCAAGTTCACCTCAAGAATTTTGCAGAGAATAATAAGCAGTGCGCAGAATAAAGCATAGTGTTGCCGTCACACAAGCAAGACTGTCATTGTTTCGTATTATATAAACCATACAGAATAAAATGAAAAACAAAAAGAAAAAAAAACATCTTAAAGTTAAGTGATTGTACATACCTGAACAAATCCGAATGGAAACAATTTACTTGTTTGTTGATGAGATGCTGCGTGAAACTTTTCCCTCCAATCGTTGATCATGGCGGGAAACTGACACATGTAATCTGCATAATATCCGGAGTTAGACTCCCCTGTCAAACATTATACATATAAGCTTATCTTGTGCATGTATTTTATAGCTAAAATGATTCGATATATAAATTAGTTAAGTTTACATTTATAAACGTCTAGAAAATAAAAACAATTTTGAAATGAATTTGAAATATAAATATACATAGCAGGATTTCAGGCAAAACAGTTTTCTTCTTTATATACAAGAAATCGCCAAAAACCAATACAATAACTTTAACAGTATCTTTATGATATTAATGGCAAAGTTAAAATGAAACCTATATTATATCACTGGCATTATTTGACATGTTATATGACCAAACGTAATGGTTTTATGCTTATATAACTGGTAGCGATATTCGCGAAAGAAATAGCTAAAAACGTTTTAAAAAGACATTTCCTGAAAACAGCTTTGCAATAAATATATCATATTATACAATCAAATTACTTGAAAATAAAAATACTAGTAAGCATCCATACATACAGAATAGATAATATTAATTAACATTATATTTGTACAATTTTCCAATGAAAAGCGACGTTGCAAAATGCAGTGTTACATGTACAGGGAAATAATGAACAAGAATGTTAAGATAGTTTCAGAATGGCAATATGAGACGATCATACCTTGATACCAAATAACTCCGTAAATAGTCATCTTCAGTAACGGAAACAGCATTGCATTCCAAAGCTCAATAGGGTTAACAACAGCTCTAGATAGATGACATTGTATATGTGTTTTATATAAATAATGTTAGTATAAAGAACGTGAGCGTGAGTTAAACATACGAATGTGGCATTATACTATTATGATGATACATTATAAGGTTGAAACAATTTTTTTCATCAATGTTTTACCTTAAAATGTATAGCTAGGCATATAAATTTATATTTTCAATATATCTGTTAACATATTTGATAATCAAAGAGTTTGTTGTTAAGTTTATTTTTCGGCCAAATATACTGGTAAAATTCTCTATGTTTTTATTCAATGAACATGTCTAGCTTTAGTCAAGAATAGTGAAGATAATTAATATTCATGATGTTATAATTTAATTTCAATAGAATAAATAATCACCCTTTTCTTGCATGAAGCCCGCAAATGTTTATAGCATCTGGTGACGACCACGCCTCAATCATGGTTCCACCGTATGCGGTCTCTACCAAACCGATAGGTCGATTTATATGCGGCGCTATATTCATTGCATATAGAAGACAAACCGCAGAGAAATGCTGGGTACCAACATCTATGGTGAAAAAAATGCTTAAGATGAAACCATTGTGTAAAAAAGGAAAAAAAACAACAAACTTAGAAAAGTTCCAAAAACGTTTGTTCATATGGTTATTTTGTGTAGAGCAGTGACGGAGTCTCGTGTTCACTTGCTTTGAGTACTTATAAGATCTACTAGTATTAACCAGATACAAAAATTACGTGCAAATGAACATTATTTACACGTCATCATTTCATGCATTTACTTTTAAAAGACACGTTAAATTCGTAGCTAAGCTACTTACCTGAAGAAGTTGGCATCTGCCACGTGCTAAATATGGCGGGCTCGGATAACGTTGTGTTAGATCTTGACGTCTTTACTGCCATAAAACGTATATTATGGAAATGTGACGCAAGTCCAAGCTCATAACTCTGGTTTAAAACCTGTTTTAAAAATTCATTAGAAACATTCACTTATTTTTAAGAAATAGATATAAATGAGAACTTATTGTCAATATTGCTCGTCACGTATTTATCATATGTGAAACATGTGTTGAAGAAACATGGCATGTCATTTGATACTAGAATCTTTTATTGATAAAATTTCTTTGTAAAATGTTCGAAAGTATTAATCTTTAATTCATTTTTGGTTGCTGGAAAATACGAATATCTAAATCAATAACGGGGAAATAATCTTTGCTGTATATAAATCATCTCATGGCATAAATAAGGTTTTCACAAAGTTTTAAATGCTTCGTGCCTGACTCATTAGTTGAAACCTTACGATGAGATTCATTTATTACTTGTATACAGAAGGCAAAAATGTTAAAATACAGCAATTACATGGTTCATAGGGAAAGCCATGTTACTCTGACCCGAGCAAACCCAAACATCGCCGAACATCACATCGACGAGTTTAACGTAACCGTCACGTGACTTAATTTCCAACGTAACATGACCTCCAGAATGCTGTGGCGGGAGAAGTGCTGACCAAACGCCTGTTGATTCAGATCCTTGTGTTACGGTGGCGTTAATTACATTGCTTCCATTCAGTATAACGTTGACTGTATCACCAATTGTTGTGGCATAGCCCCAAACATGTGCTCGCTTTGGTGCCATTTGAAGCACCATGTGGTTGCCATAGTAATTTGCAAATCGCAATGTTTGAGCTGCATCTTGTCATTTGTAAAAAAGAAGTATGAATGATTGCAGAACAGATACTAGTATTACACTAAGAATGAATACAATTGTTTAATTGGAAAACGTTTTATAATACAGAAATTCTTTGATTAAATGTCTGGTCAAGCAATTAAAAGTCTATGATTTATATTTATAACTACATTTACATGTATACAATAACAATTAAATGGTACGTGGTTCTTTTCCATTTGAAATTTTACATAATAACACGACATGTATGCATGACATAGGTATGTTGCTTTGTCATCATCGTTTGTCTGAAACAATCCAAGCATGTACCAGTTTTCATTGACCTTAAAATTCAAACGTAAGATGTATTTAAAATCGACATACCGGACGTATAAATATATGCATCAACAAGAATAACCAACGTTAGAATTTTAATCATATTTCTTATTCCTTTATAACTAAACAATTAACGAAACATTCATGTCTCTTATCATTATACATATACATGTATGGCGTCGTTATCATAAAACGTGGGGCGATACAAAAGTTCTAAAATTGTGCTTGATTTCTTTTTTTACAAAGGAATCCTGTACTCAAAATGATGCTTTATAAAAATGAAATTTCATTAAAAGTATGAAATGCATATAAAATTCAACACAGAGCCGCATAAAGCCCTCGAAATACAAAAGTCAATCCGATGATGATGATGATTATGATGATGATGATGATTATAATAATAATGTTAACTTCAAGAATAAAAACATATAAGTGAACAGGTTTGAAAGAAAATTAAAAGACAACTCATTTTCATATGACAAGAATAATATTGAGCAAGTAATCAAAGAAAAATTAGAACACCAAAATAAGTAAATAAACAAATAGTTTTGGATGGGGTGGGGGTATTCCTAGTCATTAAGTGAATACTCATTTACATAAATTCTCAACAGAGACTCATGATAAATTACGTTGCACTTAGCATGTTATTATAGACCCTTGCCCTCACCCCGAATAGAAATTATTATCAATTTACTTCGTACGATGACCAACTGCTTGACACCGCCAGCGACCACCAATTTCTGGCACACAGTAACAGTTGACCAATTTGTGGATAGTTATGGTGGTTGCAAGTTGCCTTTGATATCAACTGCACCTTACCGTGCCGTAGAAAAGTAGAAGTGGACTCTATAAAATTTACAGTTCGTAAATACGATTTTTTCATAACAAATGTGTTCTTATTAAGTAAAGTAAGATTTCTTGAACATACTAGCGCCTCGTTCAATATATGTCTGACAGCTGTGTTCTCGTCAAGGTTCTCAACTATAACTGATGAACTTCCAGCGTTTGGACCATATGACCGTCCATCATGAATCATTATTGAATCCTATCTTTCTAATTCAAGCTCTTTTCACGTTCCAAAAAATAATATTAATATCATAATAAAGTATATACCCCCTCCTCCTTTTTGTCATTTCCGAGCCCATATACGCTATATCAAATCCATATTGTCCACCAATTTAAATCCTTTTCAATTTAGGATTCCAAATAAATCCATATCAAATCCATATTGTACTCGAAGTAACTCTGCCTATTGACATTATAGTTATTATTGTACGAGTTTTCTCTATTTCAAATTTAAGACAACTTTATCATTAAGCGCTTGTACCCTGTAGTAAATTTATCGACTGTATTTGTTCTGTACATTTGATATATATGTAATACAAAACATTGAGATTTCTGAAAGTTTAGCACTCTTGGCAAAATGGTTAAAAACGCTGTCAAGAGATTGACTTAACAAGGGGCAGGACGTGAAATGGTTTCACACTTGGTTCATGCTAGAAATTTGGTTGCAAACTTGACAAAATGGTCATCAATTCGCACGCATTTTATCCAAGTAAGTTGATTTGAATGTAAATTTGGAATTCTTTAATATGCAATGTTTATGGCACACTCGGTTTAATGTCTCAGCTTCCTATCTTTTGATTTGATGAAGTTATTGAAGATGTAAATGGGTCGTGTAGATATCTTGAGATTTGACAGGGCGCTTTTATGCTCATTTATACAGAGCTATAAGTTTTAAAGTTCACCAAAGAAGGCAAAATAAATATCTTTTGATACTGTATAGAAGTTTTAGTTAGTATGCTCCAAACGAAGCTTCAATATCAAAATATCTTGTTCAAGCGCACTTTGGTTGCAAACTTGTACTTCAAGAATTTCTGGTTGCAACCTTATTTGTCAAATATAAAACTGCCAAAGGATTCAACGAATATCATATTGATTAGTCACAGATATTTCCTTGACAATTGCTGATTATTTTACTAGCTTTAAAAATTGTTTTATATGGCTTTAACATTATGGCTTCTTTATTTAGTTGTCAATTGTTATTGTTTATTGGTATGACCACTCCGTATTCCGACTTGTTCCCTATCTTGCCTTTCTGAGTGCCTTTGTGGTAGTCCAGTATTTTTACTACTAGATTTTGTCGGGATAATGTCGCTTTGCATTGCTGATCTTTGTCTTTTTATTTTTCCTGTTTCACATCCATAATACACTGGCGTATTTCTATTAATTGCACGTTTCTCAGTTCATTAATGGAAAAGCATTTTGAAATAAATTTGTATAGTGGTAAGTTATCAAAATAGCTTAGCTGAAGTTTCAAAAAGGAAAATAACATAAATTAGAAACGGAATGAAATAATATTTCTTCAAGGACTTTGCAACACATAGACTTTGTCGCGTTTGATGCTACTCTGCGAAAACAATAAAATGTATCAATATCTGGAAAAAGTGATCCCTCGGAAGCATAAAAACAGCAAAATAACATGAAAATTGCAGGCTCGGTTTTACAGAGTCTGTCATTACGGATAACGAAAACGTGCTACATCCACTTTTCATGCCCCTTACCAAAATTTTTTTTTCTGTCGCTTTCATAAGTTCCTTATTTATTTTCATTCTGGGCTTTCCCACACTTGAAAATAGTGCATTTGATATTCACTCATTGTTAGCCAACATTTGATCTCGCTCTGAAATGAAATATAATAACCTTTATACGGTTATATTTTGTATATATTAGTTGAATTTGGTCGTCTTTTGAAGGGAAGACTGAAAATACAAATTATAAACGGACGAAATCTGCCGTTTTTTATATCTCCTTTTCTTGAATCTTGTCACTGCTACACTGGGCTACCACAAAGGCACTCAGTAGGGCACCAAACAAAAGCAGGGAAGGGAAAACAGTCTGGACATGGAGTGGTCATACAAATAAATAATAACAACTAATAACTAAATAAAAACACCTTAACTGTCAAAAGCATATAAACAATTAAAGCCAGTGAAATAATACAACCGTTTAAAATTGTTAAAGAAATATCTGTGACTTATCAATATGATATTCGTTTAATCCTTACCAGAAAATCTTGAAGTACAAGTTTGCAACCAAAGTGCGCTTGAACAAGATATTTTTGTGCATTGGAGCTTTGTTTGAAACATGCAAATTAAATCAATTACACAGTATTGACAGAAACTTTTTAGTCTTCTTTGGTGAATTTTAAAACTTACAGCTCTGAATAAATGAGCGTAAAAAACCGCGCTGGATTGTCACTTAGCAAATCTCAAGATATCTACACGACCAGTTTACATCTTCAATTACTTCATCAAATCAAAAGATAGGAAGCTGAGACCTTAAACCGAGTAAGCCAAAAACATTGCTTTAAGGAATGGGCATATTAAAGAATTTCGAAATAACATACAAACCCACTTACCAGGAGAAAATACGCGCGAGTGTTGCGAAAATTAATGACTCGGTAACCATTTTGTCAAGTTTGCAACCAAATTCCTCGGTTGAACCATCAAGTGTGCTACCACTTCACGTCCACCCCTTTGAATTAGTGGATAGTATGCGCAGACGATTGAGAATTTAACAATATGATTTTTATCCAGAATTTATTTAAAGATAAACGATTTTAAAATTATAAAAGAGAAACTAAATTAAACTGGAAGAAAAAGTAGATCTACCCTGAAGCATTTATTCAAAACAAAAACTTAATAGAGAAGTTGCAGACTGGTTTTGATTGAGTTCATTGTACACCATTGAGGGTAATGATAAGACTTGCAACATCCTTTAAGATCCCCTAGTTAGCAACGGCTTTCTGACTGGACTAAATTGCTCAACACTTGAAGTAGTGCTGGGCTCAATGATCCAGAATACCAGAAAAATATATCAACACTGAAGTGAAGTACGGGGCAACCTTTTACAGCTGCCACACAGCACTTGACACCTGCTGTTGTGAAGTATAAAAATCTGGAAAGAAAGTGATCCCTCTGAAGATTTTTTATATATCTTTTTCTTGAATATGGTCACTGCCACACTGGACTACCGCAAAGGCACTCAATAGGGCACCAAACAAAAAGCAGGGAAGGGAAAACGGTCTGGACATGGAGTGGTCATACAAATTAATTATAACAACTAACAACTAAATAAGAACTCCTAAATGTTCTAAATTCAGAATTTTACCATTTCGTGTTAAATGTTGAATTCTGATTCAGCAGATGCTAGGGACACGGAAGGTTACTTGCAATTTCCAGTACCGTCCATGAACAGGCTCAATCAAACCGAGCCTGCAACATTTTTAATTTTATCTTTTTAGACGTTCTTTAGGGATTCCCCCTTTTCCCTATTTTTTTTTCTATTTTACCTGATATTTTCGAAAAAAAAAAATTAGTCAACAGCTCCTAGCATTAAATTATTATTTGTTTGCAAGTTTAGTTACTTAGGCTAGACCGAAATACCGTATCCATTCTGTATATTCATACTTTTATGCAGACGGAAAAGGTCGAGAAGATGTGATTGGGTGAGTATGCGTTTCATGGTCTATCATTTATGAGATAGAAGTATGTGACACTCAGAGTAAAATTCGAAATAATACAAAAAATGTTCGAACAAGGCTAACATAAAACGAAGTTTGTAAACAATACACTTATATAATATGCTAAAAGTGTAGCGTGCATTTTACATGCGAGACTCTACAATCGTACTTGAAGTATTTTAAAAATGATTAAGCGGCCTTCAAGTTTACATGAGTGTATAGTTACTTATTGTTAAAATAGTTTAATGACTTATGCGAAGACACGTAATTGTTGATCGTTAATGGGTTTATTACTTAAAGAAAACAATGTAAGTTTGGAGTCTATTTAAAATGGTTTGATATACAAAGAACAATTCTTAATCACGATTAATTATAAAATCACCGACAGGTTGGACTACTTTCTGTTGTTTTTTTTAATTAACATTGTGCTGTGGTTTAAATTCTTATAACTTGTTTATGAGGCGAAAAGACCATGTTCAAAAGTCGCTTTAATCAAAAGAGGAAGTAAATGATCAAAATGGCGACGGGAGATATTAAAGTTAAATCGTCTGACATTTCTGATTTTCACTGTTTCACATGCACTAACGAAGTTGCCGTAAAATATTGTGTTGAATGTCAAGGTTACTGTTGTCAATCTTGTGTCGACACACACTCGCGATTCCCGGGTTTAAAAGTGCACACACTTCTTGACCAATCAAATGATACAGTACAGGGAACGCTGATCACATTGCCGACGATGCCGACAGAGAGATGTGCTACTCACACCATCAAGTTAGTTGACATGTATTGTAAAGACCATGACGAGGTTGGCTGTTCAACATGTATGACATTAAAACACAGGTATTTTGATACATTATTTATCACAATATGAACGATTTGTTATTCAATAAGCAATAATGTAAAGGTTTATCGTTGGGATATTTATGTGAATTTCTTAAAATACGAGTAAGTGTAAATGACTAATATAATGCTTATATCAGAATTCAAAGATCTTTAAGAAATGGACAGTTTATTGAATGTAAATGAAACAGCGCTATTCAAATAAGTCGATTGTCTTATAAATATTGACTACGATATTTTAAAGTCATTGAGTATTAATATTGATTAAATAACTCCCCTTCCCTTCTATTTAACATGCAATATATTTCTCTCTTTTTCAATAAAAAATCTGTATAAGAAACTAGAATAACAAACGAACTTTCATATAGTCTCAATTTTAACGTCCTTTTTCGTGTTTCGAGTAAAGAAATAGTATCAAATGCATATTGTACTCATTCTAGCTTCGTTTTCATTTTTGAGTCCAGCAGTTCCATATCAAAATAATAATTTACTCTCACTAATATAATACAAAAGCACTGCTGATATTTAGTGTTTTATTTTGATTTAGTCTGAATAGTAATGTGAAATAAAAAGTTCATTACATTGATGAGTCCCATACGTATTATATTGGACTCTTTAACAGTTACAAAGAAGTTTAAACCTATATAACACCCGACCAGTGCCGCCCAGTATATGTTTGTCAACTATGTACTCGTCAAATGGCATTTAGTAATATATTCAACAATTTATGATCACCTCTGAATATCGAATGAATGCTCATTTCGTACTTTATATACTTTTTTAGAATAAAGATATTTCTTCCTGTTATACGATGTATTGATTAAAAAGACGTTACTTTGATATGATTTCTCTCTTGTATGCACTTGAAAGATCAATTTATATATTCTATGGTTGCTTGGATTGATAATATTCATTCTAAATCCAGTATCATCATAATTATTTGATAATGCGGAATGTAACTTTAATATTTCACTTATGTTGTTATGTAAAAAGCTATGTACATTGTAGTAGATTTTAAGAATATGAATACTTAAAGCTAAAGTAATTTATTTATTTTGTGTACAGTTAACATGCATTTTACCGGAAGACAAATGCTTATCTTTGTAGGTTTGCTTTCGATGAGATAATTCTATATTTTCTAATTTGTTAGGTCCTGTGCAAATGTACACTCCATTCCTGATGATATTGAGGTGTTATTCGATGCAAGTATTCTAGACGATACAAATCGGCGTTTAGAGAGCTGTAAACAGCAAGTAAAAAGCATTGAAATGAAGAAAACAGAGGCTATTGTAGGATTAAATAAATCAAAACAGAAAGCTGAAATGATAATCGACAGGGTAAAAGAAGAGCTCATTACCCATGTGGAAAAACTTGCAAAGGCAGCTAAAGAGGACGTGGAGAATGAATTCCAAAGTGCTAAAGCTCAAATAGATGTAGAGCGCCAAGAAGCGAATAAAACATTAGACGATCTTGAACAGGTTTCATCAGAATTGGAAAATACAGAGCGAAATAAGTCACAACAATTTGTTTGCATGAAAAAAGCAACCCAGAAAATAAAAGAAATAAAAGTAAGCGAACTTGTCTTAACATGTAACAGGGAGGCAAAAATTTCCTTTGATGCTGATTCAAGTATTCAGGGATTTGTTCATGACACCAAGAAATTAGGTAATGTGCGATCTATACAAGAAACCAGCCATTACACTGTTGAGACAATCGAAGATATAAATGTAAAGTTACAAAATGATAAATCAACTTGTGATATATTTGGTTCTTGCATGACTGAAGATGGATCATTGTTATTGACAGATATAAATAATAAAAAACTTAAGCAAGTGAACATTGAAACTATGACTGTTGACAGTGCTTGTAGTTTTAAGAACAATCCTTTCTGTGTATGTTGTACTAACAAAGATGAAGTAGTCGTAACATTTTTCACGTATGCAAAGTTTATTCAGTTTGTTTCCGTTGGTACACGACTTGCGCCTTCTAGAAAGGTTAACATTAATCATAATTGTCTAGGAATTTCCTATAAAGATGAGAAGTTATATATCACTGATAATGATCATAGTATATACGTACACGATATGTCTGGCAAAGAATTACAAAAGATTATGACAGACAACTCAGGCAATGGTTTGTTTAGCTGTGTCCAAGAAATAGATCTTAGTGATTCTATGCGAGGTATTGTAGTTGTAGACGGGAAAAAAGGCATTATCATTCTTAACAATACGTATCGGCGTATTGCTGGATATTGTGGTCCTGAGTTGCATAATGCAGTATCAGCATGTACAGATGGTTGTGGAAGCATTTTCGTATGTGGATATACTTCACATAACATTTTACAGGTAGGCTATGATGGCAAGAAGATTGGTGATGTTGTCGAAAAATCGCATGGCATTCAAAATCTTTCGTCTTTATGTTTTGATTTTAAACGGTGCAGGTTATTTGCAACACAGAATAATGATATTGTTAAAATTATTCATCTTATGTAGCCGAATCAATATAAAAAAATACGTTTAAAACATCGACATCAAGGATACTAGAAGATCTAAAATCGTTCCACCCACTTACACAAATGGTATTATAGTACAATCAAAATTACATACTTAGAGTATCGATATTTTTGAAATGTTATGCGAGGTAATTATCCGGTATGTATATTTGAATCAACTGTTGATTATATCATTAGTTGTACTTATTGTGTATGCTAACTTAAGCTTTAGTTAGTACAGCTGAATGTTTTAAATGCAAATTTTAGTCTGAATGATTGTATAAGCAAATGGAAATAAATGGCGTACTTGGCTAAATTGAGGTTTTTTCTCTTGATTTCCGGGTCGTAAATGTAGGTAATAGCTTTTCAGATATTCTTACAAGGAAGTGTTCAAATTACCATTCCTTTTCTATCTTGATTTAAACGTATTTGGTGACGAAATATGGTTTCTTTGATAATTAAAAAAAAACATGTGTTTTAGGTTATTTAATGTGAGTGAGCATTATTTACTACTTGGTGTTTGAGCTTTACACCGTGCGAGTGCAATACGGTTATTTAACAGGATATTATTTAATGAAAATTTAGTACACCTTTTTGTTCATTTACAATGTAACAATAAAAATATTTAAATAGGTTCATTAATGATCACGAATTATCACTTTAGATAACTGCAAAATTGGTCAACACTAATAAACTATGGAATGATATACTAATCTGTCCTCAAAAAAAAGTTTTAATCATTTTAAAAATTCACCAAAACGCAGTACTAATATTACTAATTGCAATAAAACTCATTGCAAAACCAAATGGGCCAGTGTGGGTGGGCTAAAAAAATTCGAAACATGATCACAACTACAAAGGCGAGCTAAAGAAAAATAACCTATATATAGGAAGCTAACAACCTATCAAATTCAATAATACAAATATAAAAAATAAACCATAAGTTAATATAACCAGATGTTAACTTGATTCAAATATTAGCTTTATCGCTCACAAGAATTAATCGATTTTAACTGGACCTGATGTATTAAAATACGCTAGATTAGATAAATTAAATATACCAAAGAATTTGCATGAAAAAAATAACCCCAAAAAAATGAACTATTTCATTGGACCAGACAAATGATGACTAACAAACAAAGTTGAACGTTCGTTCACTTTATGTGTATTTTATCTAGCATCCGATAAAGTTGTAAACTGTACAAGGTGTATTTATTCTGATACCGTGCTAATTCAACAATAATATAATGTTAACGTACGAGAATGCTGCATTTCGGTCATACCGAGAAAAATGCTGATAAGTGAAGGATATTATATTAAATAAGAAATTCGTTATTTTAAATGCTCAGAACACTATTAAAACATGCGTTTTTGAAATCGAAAGTGAAGGTTTTAAATAACGATTAAAAGATTTATTTTTTAATTGACAAGTGAAGTAAACCTCATAGTTATGAATGATCACATATAACAGAAGTGTACGAAAAAGGAAGTAACTTATCAAAATGGCGACTGGCGATAGTGAAATGGCCTCGGATGAATTTTCAGATTTTCAGTGTTTTACGTGCACCGGCAAAGTTGCTGTTAAATACTGTGTTGAATGTCAAGGTTACTGCTGTCAGTCTTGCATGGACACGCACTTACGATTTCCTGCTTTGAAAAGTCACACACTGCTTGACCCGTCAACTGGTAAAGTAGAGGGATCGTTAATCTCATTGCCGACACAGAGATGTTCTATTCATAGCATTAAGTTAGTTGACATGTATTGCAAAGACCATGATGAGGTGGGCTGTACAACATGCATGGCTTTAAAACACAGGTATTTTGACAATTGATGTATAAATCTTTTCGTTTGATTTGGCACCTTTAATCATTCGTTAAAAATCATCATGTTCTTGGCATACTTATACAGATTTGATGAAAAAAATGTGTAAAGGTCTGATTACTGACAAAATGTAAATGTTAAATTATGTTGTTCTTAAAGATCCTGTATGTTTTGTAATTGATATTGTGCCTGTGTGTATACCACTCTTACAAGAAATAATATATGTTTATTATTATGCAAATAATACATGTTTCAAACATCGAAGAATATGTAAAATATGTACTGCAAATATTTGTGCACATTATAAGTAATCAATAAATTATATGCATTCATTTCCTATTGGAAAATTTGACTTTGAATTTATAGAAAATAAATTTCTAATTACCTCCCTTTATTTACATGAAAAATATCTTTATAAATAATGCTTATTGGAACTTACAATATTGACAAATCTTAATTTGAGCATCATATACTTAAACAAAAAAGAAACTTTCTCCGAGTTTGAATGAAGATATGTTAGTACAGTTTTTCAATCCTTTTGAAACTCGATTTTTACGTTGGATAAACATATCGGGCTTTTATACGAGGATTAGCTGACCGATTTTGCAAACAAAACGAGTTTTACAAGCTACTACATGTATATAAGTGTGTACATCTAAGTGGTACCCTTGAACAACTGGCACATATTTTGCGAAAGTTTCTTTTTTGGTTCAGTATATTTATGAAATAAAACCAAACAAAATGTGATACAGGATCTTTAGGTATCTGTTGTCATATGAAAATAACTCTAGACATTTTTTTTTTCAAGTAACAGCTTCACTGTTAACCTAAACTTTTTAAAAATAAGATGATTTTTTCCCTCAAACATTTCAACTATTCAGTCATAATTATCTAAAAATGATAAAATATGTACTAGAAATGATATCATAAACAAATAAACGTGCCGATATGAATGCAGTCACACCATTATCATCAAGGAAAATAACAAAAAACTGCATGCCCAGATAACCGCTATGGGTCTATTTGTTTTTATTCATTTCGGCATGTGAGTGCAGTTGATTTTATATTTAAAACCATTGTTTTATTAAGTTGACGTATTCTAATATCATACTTATGTCTTTTTATTTTATTTATACATGCAACACATGCAAGTGTCAAAGAGTCTATGTTCTTCAGAGGATGAAAATTCCCTTTCCTAAACTAAATTTAATAACATTTTTTCACAGTTTTAAATATGGCAATGATTTTTATCTTTACTTGTTTTTGTAATTCATTCGTCCTACTTTCTCACACTTTGTCGTATGATCATTTTTGAAATAATTATTATAATGTCATCAAAAGATAAAATTTCACCACATGCACGTACATTTATCTGAAACTAGATGATTAAAACATATCTTGTCCGACGAAAATACATCTAAGTAAAGTATTTGCAATATTTATCTTGTTATAATTCTAAACCGCTGTAACGTTTAAATCAAACCGTTTTATTTTGTAAATACATGTATTTACTTAAATTGTAAACACTGCAAGCAAATCAGTGGGGTAGAACAGTTGTGCGCTTGGCTGAACAATATATCATTATGTTCATAAAAATAGGCAAAAAGAAGAAAATATCTTGGTAATCCGGTTTTAAAACTGACATTTATGTAAATATGCTATACTGCATTAAGCTGTCCTGTCCTACTTGCTACATGTTAGAGGGTGTGATAATAGAGGTGTTTCTACCCGTGTCAAGTGAAATATAACAAATGTTAGGTCAACAGCTGGTCACAGTTATTTTATAGAAACTGCAAATTTTACTTTTGTGCATATTTAATAACTGTACAAAAACATTTTGCTGTGTTTAGACCCTTTTTTGTTGGAGAGTAGCATTTAAGAAATTATTTATTATTATTATTATTTTTTTTTTGATATTGTTGCGTATTTTGAACCATAAAAAAAAAATCTCCTCTACACCTCCTGTGAAAATTAAATTGCCTGGTCAATACTTTATTATATTAATATTTCCTTACGATTCAACTAGATTTATCATGAATCTAAAGATGTGGGGAAATGACATCACGCGCACCTGTTTTTATACGGCCAATACACAAACATGGCCGCGCTTACTGATTTGTAGAAATCGGTGATTTAGCGATTTAAATTTTGATATCATTCGTTTAATATTATTATTTGGCGGCAGAAAATTTGCAGATTTATTATTTATAGTATTTTTTTTCTGAAATCAAGTTTCTATTCTAACCTTGTCTTTCCCTTTAAGTTACAAGATGATGGAACAACTTGTGATATATCTGGCTCATGTTTGATAGAAAATGGAATGCTGTTATTAGTTGATTGCAAAAATAAAAAGCTTAAGCGCGTTAATATTGAAACTATGACTATTGATAGTTCCTGTAGTTTTGACCAAAAGCCATTGGGTGTATGCTGTACCAGTAAAGACGAAGCAGCCGTTACCCTTTCTTCGCCTGAGAGTATTCAGTTTGTCTCAATCGGTACTGAACTAACACCGACAAGAAAAGTTAACATTAATCATAATTGTCTAGGAATTTCCTTTAAGGATGATAAGCTTTATATCACTGATAATGCCCAAACATTATATATACATGATATGTGCGGTAACGAACTACAAAAGATATCAACAGACATCACAGGCTACCATCTGTTTAGCTCTGTTCGAGAAATTGACCTCAGTGATTCTATGCGAGATTGTGTAGTTGCAGACCTGAATAAAGGTGTTATCATTCTTAATGATCAGTATCAGCGCATTGTTGGTTATTGTGAACCCGAGTTGCAAAATGCAACATCAGTGTGTACAGACGATGGAGGAAGCATATTTGTGTGCGGGTATTACTCACACAACGTGTTACAGATACGATATGATGGGAAGAAGATATGCGATGTGTTGACAACAACGCATGGACTACAATATCCCGAGTCACTGTGCTTTGATTCTACAAAACGTCGGTTGATTGTGGGTCAGAACAGTGACTTTGTCAAAATTGTTCAACTTAAGTAGTGAATGCAATTATCAAAATACGTGTGAAATGTATATTATCTATATAAGTCGAAAGCAGACCTTTTTAAACAGTGTCATTTGTACGCCTTGCACATGAAATACTGTAGTAAAATTAGATTTTGATAAAGAATAATAAATTTGAAATGTTACACCACATCATGGTTTGGCACAAGTAGTATTTAATTAGACTGTTGCATTTAATTAGACTCTTGCAATTGATGACTAACTATCCAAAGTGTGGATTGGCCTACATTGAACACATTTTCCATAACTATTTCAAATTTTGATTATAACAATAGAAATGTGTCCGTTGACATACATTACATACATTAATGTTTTACAGTATGAATAGATGTGAACTTTCTTAAATCACTGACTGTATTGTGCGGTTAAGTGATGAGTTGATGCTAAGAAAGACAGTATGTTGAGTTTTATTAAAAAGTACAAACGAAACTTCCACCCTTTACATGCCTAAAAATAGCTGCATACACAAGAAGCTTCCATACACTCAGTTTGTTTGTTTGTTTCAGTTCGTTACACCTTTTTCCAACAGTATTTCAGTCATATAGGCGGGTGGTTTCCTAAACGTCGTTCCTGGAGAGTTACACCAGTACTAGACTTCCTTCCTTCGCGGTAAACTACCAAAGTATCTCCCGGGGATCGAACCCACGCCAGAGAGGTAACTGG